TCACTCGAAGATACCTTTTGACCGTTACAGTACTCGACATCTTACGTCGTCATGTTGGAAATAAAGATATCAACATTTGGAATAATTGTGAAAGAAACCGTATCCAAGGACGCGAAAACTATTGAAGCTGCGGTGAAACAATCGCAATGCGGTTTACTCCCCGTCCCGGTTCTTCTAAGTCACTTTGGGCTTCTAGTCGCGGAAGTGGTGCAGCTAAGAAAGCCTTAAGGATTGCTCATCTCCAGGAGTATGGGGTTCGGCGTGGGGTCGAGCTCCAGCGGGCTCTCTTAGAGGCACATAGCAAAACTGAGTTAGCCAAAATTGAGCTAGAGGCCGGAGAGGATTCACAAGATGAAGTCTGGGAACCAGTATCCCCAAATGAACGGTTGGCGGGGTAAGTGAAGCAATGTCAGACAGATGAAATACCGCCAAAATATGCTGATGACACCAGGGGGCCATCCCCAGAGCCAAAACCGGCCATTTCCGTCACTCCAGTGTCAGCCACTATGGACCTACCAAAAGTAGAACTATCATACTTTGATGGTAATCCGTGTCATTACTGGAGGTTTCCCCGCCAATTTGAGTTATACATTGAGAGCAAGGTGTAGGGCACCGGTTAGGGGCTCCTTCATCTGATCCACTACTGTCAAGGCGACGCGAAGGCGGCCATTGAAGAATGGGTGATGCTCCCGCCGGGAGTAGCATACTCGAGAGCACGGGAGATTCTACGCAATCTCTTTGGTCAGTCTCATATTATCGCTCGTTGCCTACTAAAAAACCTATTTCGGTTTGCACGACAGACTACTGGAGCAGCCAAGTCTTTGTCAGACTTATGCACAAAAGTGCGCAGTTGTGGAATTGCGTTGACGCAAGTGTGTTACGTCTCAGACTTGCACTCACTAGCGGTTGTAGAAAGAATTGTGCGTTCTCTCCCCTTGCCATTGCAGGACAAATGGGCTGAGGTGGCAGATAAGTTATCTGTGAGTGGCCGGGACCCAACGTTCACAGGCTTGACGGAGTTTGTGAACACGCGCTCCCGAGTTGCAAAGAGTCGGTTCGGGCAGCTGACTCGAGAGGGAGAGGTAGGGCGCCCTCCTCTAACGCCAGCTGCTAACAACCCAGCCCATAGACGGTATGGTTTTGCCAGTTTTCCAACCAACATCAGGCCAGATGCAGACAGTCGTATAAGCTGTTACGCATTATGGTCACAGTCCCACCCAATTCCTAGGTGCAGGCGCTTTCTGTCTATGAATGTTCCCGAAAGACGGAGATGCAAAAGGGAGCATAATGCATGCTTTGCCTGTTTAGGAAACGCCCACATGGCCAAGGATTGCAAGCCAGTAGTTCGATGCGGCCAGCCGGGTTGTAGGGGACGACATCATAGTTTGCTACATACATCACAATCCGGGAACAAGGCTTCGACCTCCTCATAGGTGGAGGGTTTGTGTCCCTTAACTCGAGGTAGTCGGTTTCCGTCATTTTTA